TGCTGGCCGCGAGCTGATCTGTTCAACTTGCCGATGTGGTTCGCCGGATCGGCTTTCACCGTGGACGAAGCGGAGTCCAGCCCGGGGTCGTCACATGTGGTTGCCGCAAGCCCGCTGGCCGCTCCTTCGTCGAATCCGCTGGCCGCGCTGTTCTCAAGCCTGCCCGCCGATCCTTTGTCTGCAATTTAATAATACCAAAGTCCTTTTAAGACAAGTCATGTTACTCGGGGGCCATCTTTGAAATGCCTCTCGGCAAGTGCAACTCCTATCTCTTTGAATGGGGAAACATCAAATTCTCCAAAACTGTTCACTAAGCTTACGATTAAATTTAATATTTGAAATCACCAAAGACATCTGACAACAACTGTGTCATAAATGTTGTTACTTTTGCTCTAATAGCGTTGTAAAAATCTTATTTTTCAGGCTAGATCAGCCAGTGCACATGCGCAGTCCTGAGCGCACGTCTCAGAGCGCTGACTGTTTCTATAGCAACCGGGACGCTTCTAATTGGCTCTTTCATTCAGAAGGCTCTTTCATTCCTGCGATTGAGCGGCCATATTGAGCGTTGCAGTTTTCCCCATTCAAAACTATACGAGGGACACGTCTTGGGTATTCTATAGTCTTTGATAATACTGACCTATTAGCCTTCTTTTGCTATTGCTTTTGAGCATTAGGTATCAGTAACATAATTCATTCAGAACCTGTTCTATGGACATATACTTTCTGTACCACACCATTCTGCTGATATGGAATGAGTTTGACTACTTAATCAGTTATATTAATAGAACTGCTTCACTGGGGCAAACAAACAAAAAAATCCTAAAATAATAAACAGGATACCCCATAGCAGCATTTCCAGAAGTATCCAACATCTCTCAATCATGATCTTACTCAGCTAAATGTAACTATTAGCTTAACAGCTGTATTCCTTGAGCCTCCTTTGATATCGTTTTGACAGACATGTTTATTGTGTATTATTTGTGTTCGTATTCATGTTTATTGCTAAGTTTAGTGTGGCAAAATAGAAGCGCAGCTGTAATTTGCGTGCAGTGTATCTGGTTGCCATGACAACCTTGCTTCCTGCTGTTGCTCTATGTAATCAGAGTGTGAATTTGTCGATTTTCTATAGCAAAACTAAAATGTGTTTAAAAGTGCGACTGACCAAATCGTCCGGCTCAGTTTTGAATTGAATTGTTGAATTGGTGGTTGTTGGGTTTTAAAATGTTTGAGAAGTGACATACTGTAATCTGGTGACTGACTGGTGTGCTGCATTTGTCAGTGCGGTGTGAAGTGCCCTTAAGACATGCTGCTGCACAGATAGGCATGTATAAAATTCCTGAAGCAAATCTATAATGTGGAGCTGGAGGAGGTGGAGGGTTTCAAGGGAACTCTGATAGTAGGCTGCAGGACCAGACACTGCACACCACACATCACTGCACCAGACTATTTAAATGCTGGCCAATCAGATTTTGCCACATAGTAAATAAAGTGATTGTTATCAGATTGCATGTAAAGGACTTATCAGCCTACAGTATCTGGAGTTCCATTAATTAATTATTAATTTGTGCTTCTTTCCTCTTTAGTCACAAAGACCAATCTGTGCGTGCATGAAGATGAGAACCACGTCCCTTATGTAAAGGTGATATTTCACATCCACCAGCCACCCATATTGTGATAATACTGTATGTGTGATAACTATATATTATCATAATAAAACAGAATTATTCTGGTTGTGTGTCAGGGCTGCACTGAACGGTTTGTGTCCAGTCCTGAGGAGATCACTAATATCATTAATGAAGGAAAGTCCAAACGGCATGTTGCTGGCACCAGTGAGTGCTTTTAGCATTTTCAAATTTACTGTCATTTACTCACATCAGTTCATGTTATTTATTTATTTATTTATTTTATTTCAAAATGGAAGTATGCTAACCAGTAGCTTCTCTTAAAGACAACCTCATCTTAGTTTGACAATTCAGTCACCTTACTAAAGCACAGCTCAATGGTGATCTTACAGGTAGTGCTTAACATGTGTGTCCTCATGCTGGACTGCCAACTTTTCAGGTCAACTTGGAGCAACAATTCACACAGGGCTTGGGGTGGGGGGGTTAGATTTTTTTTTTCAATTTAAAACAATCTTCAAAACCCATTATAATAAATTTCACATTCAGCTGTGCTTTTAATATAGTGTGTTGTATATAGTAATATTGTGATGTTTGTCTTTTTTCCCCACTAAGTTTTTTGTGTGCATTCATTTTCACAATAAATAAGAAAATTACTAGTTAAAATATTCAGAATCAATATTTTTATGTGAGGATCAATATATAGCCTATATCACCCATGACACCAACCTTAGTCTAAGCAGCAAATGAGAAGATCTTGCCTTAGTTGTGTGGATGAGCAGTAAATTAGATTTTGTTCTGTTGCCAGATATGAATGAGTACAGCTCTCGCAGCCATAGCATTTTCCAGATCGTCATTTCGCAGGAGCATGGGGACCATAAACTCTCTGGGAAACTCTACCTGGTGGATCTGGCTGGCAGTGAGAAGGTCTTTTGTGTTTTTGATGTCATATTAAAAACAAACAAACAATCAAACAAGCACATCATTCTAGAAGCTCTCCTATAAAATGTATGCAGCACTCTTTCTTTCTTTTTTTTTTCCTCAAGACACTTTTAAATTAAATATTATGTAATTTGTGTTCTTTTTTAAATTAATTTTATATTAAGTTTGCAATTTCTGCGATTCTGATATAAAAATCTAGTCCACGTATAAATGGAACCCTTATTTGTTTGATTTTTAAGTAAAGTAGTTTTTACAAAAATTAACTAAATATTAATTTAACATTGTTGCATGACTAATTGTTAAATATAGTTTACTGCGTACTGAATTAATATGCAATATTAAATGATAATAATTAAAGTCGGCTAAAAAGCAATTAGGGAAAATCAAACATATTTATGAAGCTTGCTTTCATTTGTAGGTCAGTAAGACAGGTGCAGTTGGAAATGTTCTGGATGAAGCTAAAAACATTAATAAGTCTCTGTCTGCTCTCTGCAATGTTGTCTCTGCTCTCACTGAACGAGCTGTAAGTGCACAGACACAAATATACACATGCTTATACAAACATAAATATGCATTTTTGTTACACTGATATTTTTATTTATTTTTTTTTGTGTGTTTGAGCAGAAAACTCACATACCGTACCGTGACAGTAAGCTGACCAGAGTTCTACAGGATTTTCTGGGAGGAAACTGCCGGACAACCATATTAATCTGCTGCTCCCCCAGCAGCCTCAACAAAAGCGAGACCATGTACACCCTCATGTTTGGACAGCGGTACCTCCACCACATACTAATTCCATTCCTATTTTCATATCACAAAGTTTCTACTGTGTCGTAACATTATTGGTACAGTTAAAATGTATTTCAACAAAAGGTCCAAAAACTATATTCTGACACACACAAAGAATGAAAACTCTGGATCAAACTGTAATCTTCATAGTTTTTCATGCTAATTTCAGAAATATGATCTCACCACTGAAAGTCACATTTTACCAAACAATCTGATGGCTTTATTGCCATTATGCAAATAAAACATTATCTAACCTACGCAATTAAATGATACATTTTAACCTACTGATTAAAGTGAAATCAGTAAGCTTTATTTAATTCAACGTTATAAACACAATCAATAGTCACATTAAAAATATAATAGATGGTATAAACAGATAATATACCTTTAAATATATATGAAAACAGTTATACAAAATAACTATAATTGCACTATATTTGAATGCCCTGAAAAAAATACTGTAGACCTTAGTTCTCTGTAGGGCTGTGTATTGGCAAGAATCTGGCGATACGATACGTATCACGATACAGGAGTTGCGATACGATACATTGCGATACACACCACCATATGCAAACCTTAGCAATAAATAAATAAATATATAAATAAATATTGTTTACCCTGTTGAAAAAAACAGCATATGCTGGTTAGGTATGTTTTGAAGCCGGACCAGCACATGACCAGCTAAGGACTTGTAGGCCTATTTTATATTATGGACTTTATGTAACATTTATTCATGATAAACTTCAATTGAATCGCACGTAATACAGTCCGGTAGCCAAGGCCTATGGCTATTAAAATAATTTAATAATGCAATAATTTCTATAATAAATAATATAATAATTTCTTAATTCAAAATAAAATATTAATGAATCCATCTCTGATAATCCCGGGTTGTTATGGTCACGCAGGTTTGTTTACACATTAAACTCGTGACCACGAGAAAAATTCATGGGTCCTCATATGGCTTGTTAACTGAGGGGGGTTACAGAGTATTTGTTAAATATAAAAACAAAATATATATTGTGTGTTTGAGTGGTCCAGACGCTACAAACTCGTGACCACGAGAAAAATCTTTATTTTGCATTGATATTAAGCAGATGTAACTTTTTGTTCAGATCAAAATGTTATGACATTGTATGTCACAATTGTAAACTTAAACTGTGAACCTTTAAAGCAGGATCTAAAAATATATATTTTATTTTTATAAAATACATTTTATACATATACATTTAACTAAAATATGGTGCCCGGGAGCTGACATGGTCGGTTCACTTAGTTTTGTTGTGGCCACCCCTGCTGAAAAAAAACAGCTAAAACCAGCATAAGCTGGTCAGGCTGGTTTTAGCTGGTTTATCAGGCTGGTTTTAGAGGTGTTTTGACCACTTTTTTAGCTGGTCAGGCTGGTTTAAGCTGTTTTTTTTTCAGCAGGGACGACATAACTCGTGGGAACGTGATAATATGTCGTGGCCATGAGATATTAATTTGTGGGAATGTCATATTAACTCGTGGGAACGTGATAACATGTCGTGGCCTCGAGATGCTATGTTGAGGGAACTACATCCATTTCTTGTGGCCACGACTTCTTATGTTGAGGGAACAACATTTCTTGCAGGATTCCTAAAGAACACAAAACAATTGTAAAACAATAAAATAAATACAGATGTTAAACATTCTCAGAACCTTTCAATTTGGATTTCACAGGTTTTTCAATTTGTATTTATGTTCTGCGTGGAATCACCGAGACCGAGACCGCGACGCGAGCACTGCCCCAACTGCACAAAACGCCCCCACCACGAGAGAAAGCTGCAGTCACGCGGCCGCGGCGACCCTACCGCCCACCGCGCCCCGTGCGAAGGCTCTTCACACGGGACTAGTGATGGGAAGTTCGGTTCTTTTCCGCGAACCGGTTCTTTCGGACAGTTCGATTCAATGAACCGGTATGGCAAGCCGTTTTAACATTTAATCAATAAACCGCACTAGTATCTAATTTAACGTTACTAGTACTTATTTTTTTAGATACTAGTATCTTTTCCATTAAGTACTTGTGCTTATTCTTTAGGTACTAGTGTTTTTTGTAAAGTTACTAGTACTTATTCATTAGATACTAGTACTTAATCATTAGATACTAGTGCTTATTCATTAGGTACTAGTGCTTTTTTATTTGGTACTAGTACTTATTCATTAGATACTAGTACTTATTTATTAGCTACTAGTACTTATTCATTAGCTACTAGTACTTATTGATTAAATACTAGTACTTATTTATTAGATACTAGTACTTATTTATTAGATACTAGGATTTATTCATTAAATACTAGTACTTATTCAATAGATACTAGTACTTATTTCAATAGTGACTAGTAACTATTATATTGTTACTAGTA